TTGACAAGTGCAACAAACCACCATTGGCACATGTATACCTATGTAACAAACCTGCACATTCTACACATGTGTCCTGGAACTTAAAGTAAGGGAAAAATAAATAAATAAATAAAAACTTCAAGACCTAAATAATTTAGAAGAATTGAATATATTTCTTTATTCAGTAAGCATATTTAGACTATCTACTGCGTCAAGTCCTGTTATCAAGTACTGAGGTAAAAATTCAATACAAAGTATTTTTTAAAAAATCCACCGCTAGTTCTAGATAGAGATATGTACAGCAGTGATATGACAGCCCAACAAAAATGAAACTGTGCAGAGGTGACATCTAAACTCCTTCTTGAAAAATGAAGATGTCTGAAGAAAGATAAAGGGATGGGAAGGTATAGCCCATGAGGCTGGAGAGGTAGGTTTGGACATATTGTTTAAGGATGGAAGGGTTGGATAAAATCCGTATTGTTTTAGGATGGAAGGGCTGGATGAAATCCCATATTTGAAGGGAATCATAAGATGTTTTCAGGCATAAAAATGACAGTCAGATTCATACTTTTGAAAGATAATTCTGGCAGTACTATATAGAATATATTAAACAGCAGAATGACTTAATTAAAAAACAGTTTATGAGTAAAGAAATGCTAAGTAACTGAATTAGTTTAGATTTATAACTAGAAGGCACTCAAGAATCAATCGAAACTTGACAAATGTATAAGACGGATCAAAATAAATAATGGTTAATAAAGTAGTAAACAGAATAGTACATTTCTGATTTCTTAATAAGGTATATCAACTGGTTGAAGAGAGAGAGAGGACTAAGGAATAAACTCCAATGGCAAAAAATGATTTCCCCCAGAATCGAATTTAAAGTTTTCTTAGGTAAGACTAGAAATAATAAAATTCTCTCTTTTAAAAGAATATTTAGCTTTCAGAGCAAACATCCAGCAGTGGAAAAAAGAATACACAACAACAACAAAAATCTTATTTGGAGAAAGAGAATTTTCAAGGTATCAGTTAAAAGAACTTAATAAATCCAGTGCTGCTGAAAAAAAAAGAGACACTACCTGGATTAAAGAAAACAAAAACAAAAACAAATGTTTGTTGTTTTAAAATATTATTCAACAATTTGCTCCAACAGATATTTATTGAGTGGCTACTCCATGCCAGGCATTAGGAATATAAAGATGAATCAGGCATCTTTATTAATCTGCTTTTGAGGAACTTATATTGTAGAGAAGACGACAAATTCACGAACCAAGTACTTTATGACAAATGTAATGACAGAAATCCATAGGGGACAAGGAATACAGAGAGTACTGGCACTTAAGCTAGCATGGGGCTATTAGAGGGAATGTTTCCTAGAGAAGACGACATAAAAATTAAATCTTAAAAGATGAGTAACTTGGCCAGTTCAAGAAAAGAGAAGACAATCATGGCAAAAGAAACAAAATGAGTAAAGGTCTAGAGATCACTACAAGCACAGTGTTTGTAGGGAGTGACAAGTGGCTTTCAGTTGTTGTAACATGAAATAAGATACAAGAAGTGACGGAAAATAAGGCTAGAAAGGTTATCTAAATCTTGAAAGGCTTTGTTTGTTTTTCCATGAGAACAAGTTTGGATTTTATGATTCTTCAGGCTGGCGCCAGTGGCTCATGCCTGTAACCCCAGCACTTTGGGAGGCTGAGGTAGGTGGATTGCTTGAGCCCAGGAGTTCAAGACAATACACAGGAACATACTGAGACACGATACAAAAATTTTAAAAAGTAGCCAAGTGTGGTGGTGCGTGCCTGTAGTCCCAGCTACTTGGGAGACTGAGGTGGGAGGATTGCTTAACTCTGGGAGTTGAGGCTGCAGTGAGTTATGTTCACACCCCTGCACTCCAGTCTGGGCAACAGAGCAAGACACTGTCTCAAAATAAATAATAATAATAATAATAGTAATAATAATAATAATAATATGGTTCTTAAGCAGAGAGGCTCATCAGAATTACATAGGGGGCTTTAAAAACATACATGTTTAGACCCTACTTCCTAAAGATAAGAATACACTAAGTTTAAAGAAGGGGACAATGTATCTGAGTTCTATAACAATTTCCCTAGTTAATTCTGTGTATTACATACACATTGAGAGAATGTCTATGATAGTATAGACCTAAACTGAACTAAGTGAGAACAGGTTTCAAAAAGGAAGGCAGAGGAAGGCTTGCCAATTTATAATGGTAGAGTTTAAGGAATTAAGAAAGATAGGCAATTCATTATATAAAGGCAAAAGAAATAAAAACTAATGACTCTGAATGTATTTTCAAATTAAGATTTAAAAATGAGAGAAATATGGATTAAAATGAGTCAAAATTTTTAAGATCTTGGACTTTAAATTTTCTAGATGCATATGATTTATATACTGAAACTTATATTCTGAAAATTCTTAGGCTGGGCATGGTGGCTCACACTTGTAATCCCAGCACTTTGGGAGGCTGAGGCAGGCGGATCACGATGTCAAGAGATCGAGACTATCCTGGCCAACATGGTGAAACCCCCATCTCTACTAAAAATACAAAAATTAGCCAGGTGTGGTGGCACGAGCCTGTAGTCCCAGCTACTTGGGAAGCTGAGGTGGAAGAATTGCTTGAACCTGGGAGGCGGAGGTTGCAGTGAGCTGAGACTGTGCCGCTGTGCTCCAGCCTGGTGACAGAGCAAGAATCTATCTCAAAAAATAAATAAATAAATAAAAAATAAAAAGAAAATTCTTCAACTAAAAAAAGATATTTTATTGTAAAAATGTAGAGGAGGCAAAAGAATACAGCTATTAAGAGAGTAAGGTTTAGGCCAGGTGCAGTGGTTCACACATGTAATTCTAGCACTTTGGGAGGACAAGGCGGGCAGATAACTTGAGGCCAGGAGTTCGAGACCAGCCTGCCCAACATGACAGAACCTGTCTTTACTAAAAATACACAAATTAGCCAGGCATGTTTTCAGGCACCTGTAATCCCAGCTACTTGAGAGGCTGAGGCAGGAGAATTGCTAATCACTTGAACCTGGGGGGCAGAAGTTGCAGTAAGCCAAGATCTTGCCACTGCACTCCAACTTGGGTGACAGAACAAGACTCTGCCTCAAAAAAAAGAAAAAGTAAGGTTAAATCCTGGCTCCACCATGCGTTGTGTGACCTTAGATAAGTTAACCTAAATATTTATGCGGACTGAATTTCCTCATGTGTAAAATGGAGATAATAACAATACATACTTTATAGGATTCTTGAATATTAATTACATAACATATATAAATCACTCAGAACCTGGAACATATAGAGTTAATAAATATCAACTCTTATTGTTAATGTAATCCTTATCATTACTCAGGAGACTACAGCAAAATGATTCCAGAGCTTAGAAATAAAGTTACCTTCACAGTAAGGATAATTAGACTCAGCACAGAAGGTATGAATTCAGGCTGTAGAGATACTAACCAAACAAATAGTCTCTAGCTGTGTAGCTGAGGAAACCTGGGGAAACACTCAAGTCTCATCAAAAACTGCGTAAGCTTTTTAGAAAGTACAATTAGGAAGGAGATAAGACAGCAAAGAGCAAGCAAATATATCTCAGACAATCAGAGACCCCCCTTCACATTGGAGCGACTCATTACACTGAAGTTTCACTTTTAGACCATAAAGGATAGCTCAGTCTACCAGTTACTAGGATAGACAAGACTAGGGGACATTCAATCATATCCAGCTTTGCTGTTAATAAATTATGTTATTTAAATTAGAAACAATTATCTACTTTTTAAGATTATGCTTAAGAAAAAAAGAGAGAGTGCTCTCCATAAGAGGTAAGAAAAACAGGAGAAGGCCGAGGAGTTGACATTGTTTCTTTAGCAAGCAAGAGAAACAGAATCAATATATTGAATGTTCAAGTATTTGTAGGTAAAATGGGCCTTCTTGATGCCTTAGATAAAACAGTCCTTGAAATTAAATAATTCTTTACTCCATCAGATTACCTTATTCTAATGATTTCTTAAACATCCCTCTTGATTCCCAGACTACGCTCAGAGGGTGCAGGGACTCTATCGTATTCATAGTAATATCTTTAGTACCCCACAGGACCTGCTTTTGCCTCCTATACTTAGACTTACCAAGAGTCAATTGTTTTTGTTCCTAAATGTGTTTGTCAATTGTACTTGTTACTATAATTTCATAACTTAGGTATTAATTATGTTCACAGATGAACTGTGAAAAAGCATGGAAGAACTGTTTCTATAAACATTAAGTAGGTTATAAAACTATCAAGGCTTTAAACAATAAAAGAGCCTCAATGAAGGTGAATCACCACAGAAACTTGGTGTCAAATTTGGTGTGGATAACACAATTTAAATGATTTTTTTATAAAAAGAACCCTAAAAATCTGTCAGGAATTTTTAGTTATAAGGTGCTTAAGGATTACAGGATCTTTATTTTTTATCCTATGTTATGTTAGAGTATATACAAAATCTCTATGGAATCTGTATTAAAAGGGGCTTAGCCCTATATCCAAAGATGGGTGAATATACATTTAAATGTTTTAAATTAAATATTTGATTTATGTTACTATTACTTAATTCCTCTGAATCAATCAACTAGTGATCATGTTGGATAAGAAGGCTTTTACTTTCTAAGAAATTATAGTAGTTATTAGGCAAATAAAATAACCGTATAGATGTGCCTATTGAAAAATTGCATTTTTTATCTTTGCACAATGTATTCCAATTAAATGTCCATTTATTTGTCAGTATTTCCACTAAATTATAAAATCATAAATCCCTTGAGAAAAAGGATCATGTCAATTCCTAGCTTAATAGTGCCCAGCATTTAAATGCCCAATGAATAGGTAGATACTATGTATTGTTTAAATAAAAAAAAAAAAACCATGCTATTCTCTGTATTTAAAAAATCTGAAACTGAGTAGTATTATATGGCTGTTTAACACCAATTAGTAATAAAATAACATTACTTACATAGAAAAGACAAATTCTTACCAATTTATAGTCCCTCCATTACACTTCTTCATAAGCAATGCTTTCCAACATTGATGAGTGGATTTAACAACTTCAAGAGCAAAAGCCTAGCTCCAAACAAACAAATAAAAAAAGATGTATTTAATATCAGTCACACTGTTATACTAACACAAAACTAATTTTGTGACGACAGTTAATCGTTAAGAGCATGAGCTCCAGAGTCAGGCAAAACTTGGTATAAATTCTGGCCTCCCTATTTATCAGCTGTGTGACTTTGGGCAAGTTACTTAAGCTTGCTAAGCCTCAATTTCTTCATCTATGAAGTAGAATATAATAGGGATAATCTATATCAGGGGCTGGCAAACTAGGGTCTATGGGTAAAATCCAGCCTGCCACCTGTAAAGTTTTACTGAATAGTCACATTTGTTTGTGTTTGGCCTATGGCTGCTCTAGTACTATACAGGCAGAGTTAAATACCTGTGACAGAAATTATACGGTCTGCAAAGCCTAAAATATTTTCTCCATGACCCATTACAAAAAAAAGTTTGCTAACCTCTGCTCTAAGTCGCAGAAGTGTTGAAAGAATAAATGACATATGTAAAGTGCTTAACCCAGTACCTGGCTTGTCAGTAAGCATGCACCTATCCCTTTCAGCATCACCAAAACTGCAGGCAGTCTAAATGTAGTTTTTTCAGTCTAAGTAATTTTAGACTATCCGCTGTCTGAAAATAGTACATCTCCTAGACATTTATGACAGTGTCTAAAAATGCATTATCAATAATACATATACTTCTTGCTAGATATACATCCAGTAAGAACATCTAACGAAAACTTGCTTTATAATTCCAAAGCAGAAAGTTCTTCAGATTCTTTTCCCTCAAAATGTTGTTTGTTTTCCTTAAGGAGAGTCCTTACTGGTTAGTTCACACTAGTTCCTTTCTTCTTCAATGATAACTAAATACATTATGATAACTAAACAAATTATGATAATAGAGAATCTTGGGAACTGAGATATAGTAATAATGGGAAATTTATCCTCTGAAAAGAGAAGTTCTCTCAGGTCTACTATTGCCTGTGATGGAGGACGGCTTATTTCTCAATGAGGTAGTGTTGGGGGGTCTCACTTCAGATATAGGACAAGAAATCAAATACATTATCTGATTATGCAAAGATAGATTTTTAAATCAAATTATTTGGACAAGTGTGATTATTTAGAATCAATTCCAATACTTGCTTAGAGGAGTGGCAGAAAAACCTAGAATAAAAGAAAGGAGCCATCTTTCCAACCATGTTAAAGAGGGACAACTTAATTCTTGAGTTATGCTTTGCTATAGTTTGAGGGAATTTGTCCTCTCAAATCTCATGTTCAAATTTGATCCCCAGTGTTGGAAGTGAGGCCTAATGGGAGGTGTATGGATCATGGGGGTGGATTCCTCATGAATGGCTTGGTGCCTCCTCAGAGTAATGAGTGAGTTCTTGCTCTGGTAGTTCCCACAATAACTGATTGTTACAAAGAGCCTGGGTACCTTCCACCTCTCTCACTTGCTTTCTCTCTCACCCTGTGACATGCCTGCTGCCCCTCTGTCTTCTGGCATGACTGGAAGCTTTCTGACGTCCTTATCAGAAGCAGATGCCAGCACCACGCCACTTGTATAGCCTGTGAGCTAAATAAATCTCTTTTCTTTATAAATTACCCAGCCTCAGGAATTCTTTCATAGCAATACTAAAGGAAGTAAGGCTCTATATTTTAAATAGTAGTAGTAAAAAGCAATGCATAAAACAATTATTTTCTCAAGAGGTTGTATAAGTGACCTCATCTTTATACAGAAAAAAATTACTATTTGTCAAAAACTAAAAAAAAAAAAAAGCAAAAACTACCTCATTCTTTACAAATTCATGACTTGGCAGACACCCTGAGGCAATAAGGAGCCACAAAAATACTATATAGGTTTGAAATTTCAATTATCTCAATAATAAAATGCAAATTTTTTGAAGAAAAAAATAATTTATTGTATAAATTTTCAATATTGTAAGGAAGAGAATTTAATCTAAAATAATAATTTTATATTTATATTTAATAATTCCAGACAAAGCCCTCAAGATTTGAAGTGTTCTTTTAATGTGCTTTCAAAAAATATTGAGTCCAGTAATCAGTTATTTTATAGCAAAGTACCCATTATGAATTTTAAGTTTTCATTAACATGCCTTAGTTCACTTAGAAAACATACTTATTGGTATCCACTTAAAAGCTGGTTTCAAATGTTTAGTTTACCTAGTGGTCATAACTTAAAAAAAAAATTCCATGTTTTAGACTTTAACTCCTTGGCCTGTTCTCTCCATTTGTATCATATTAGAGATACTTTGTGGTAACTCTGGTATTCTAATAGAAAAATCCTATGACAGTAAGATAATTCAGGTGTCCTTTCAATTGTTAACAAGCTGAGTTCTGCCATGGTAGAATGAACACTTAGGAGGAAGGCTCCTATGGACTTACATTAAGGGTGAGTAACTTTCTCTTCCATAAAACAGTAAATAGAAAGTTTTTCTATATACACAATTTGCAAAATTCGACTGATCATAAAATTCCTTCATTTTCTAAGATGAAGGAGCTACAGACAGTCAGATGGAAATAGATATTTTTTCAGCCTTGTTTATTCACTTAAAGAGCTTCTGAAACAAAATTTAAATAATAAAATCATGTTTCTAAATATGTAAGTTTGTTTTTTCTTACCATGCTATATATAGATATTCACATAAGAAACTCCCCAAGTGAAACGAGTATTGTACAGGTATCAGGAGGTACATTTTAAAATACAGATTCTCATCTTCACCTTGTTTTTGAATTCTCCATTGAAAGCAAACCGGTTTTCTGGTTTTCCATCTGGTACCTTATATAATCTAAACCAATTAAGGGTAGCTTCGAGGTAACCCGGTTTGAACTTCTTAACATCATCAATATCTGTAAAGAAAAAACAAAAAAGATGTTTTGTTAAGAACCAAAACTCAGGCCATTTAATGGCAGAGCATTAGACTAAGGGAGCCAGCAATCACGGAGCCCAGTCTAACCAGCAGCACAATTGATTATAATACCTAGAGCAGCAGCATTGTTGACACATATCACCTTCAGACTTTTGTGTTTCCATATGCATAATACTATTCTCACTCTCTACAAGCATTTACAAAGCATCTTCAGACAATGTGCTATGTATGGGAAATAAATAGATGGATACAACAAAGTTCTTTTCATCATGATACTCAGAGGTTTAATTCAGGGAAAGAGATGAAGAGATAAAAAATTGCAGTGAAAAAGCAATGAGGTTTTAACAGAGATATACACAAGGAATGGCAATGTAATAGAGCAGGAGTAAAAGAAAGCATTATAAAATGCTCATCATCATTGGTCATTAGAGAATGCAAATCAAAACTACATTGAGATACCATTTCATGCCAGTTAAAATGGTGATCATTAAAAAATCTGGAGACAACAGATGCTGGAGAGGATGTGGAGAATTAGGAACACTTTTACACTGTTGGTGGGAGTGTAAATTAGTTAACCATTGTGGAAGACAGTGTGACGATTCCTCAAGGACCTAGAAATAGAAATTCCATTTGACCCAGCAATCCCATTACTGGGTATACATCCGAAGGATTATAAAGCGTTCTACTATAAGGACACATGCACACAAATGTTCATTGCAGCACTGTTTACAATAGCAAAGACCTGGAACCAACCCAAATGCCCATCGATGATAGACCGGACAGGGAAAATGTGGCACATATACACCATGGAATATTATGCAGCCATCAAAAACGATGAGTTCATGTCCTTTGTAGGGACATGGATGAACCTGGAAACCATCATTCTCAACAAACTGACACAAGAACAGAAAATCAAACACCGCATGTTCTCACTCATAGGCGGGAGTTGAACAATAAGAACACATGGACACAGGGAGGACAGCATCACACACTGGGGTCAGTTGGGGGGAATTAGGGGAGGGACAGCGGGGGGTGGGGAGTTGTGGAGAGAGAGCATGGGGAGAAATGCCAGATATAGGTGAAGGGGAGGAAGGCAGCAAATCACGTTGCCATGTGTGTACCTATGCAATAATCTTGTATGTTCTTCACATGTACCCCAAAATCTAAAATGCAATAAAAAAAAAAAAGAAAGCATTATAAAAGTGAGAAGTACACCACTAATTGGACAAGACAGGGAAAGGTAGAAGGAAGAGCACACATAAAAGCAAGGGACTGTATTTCAGAATATACAAAGAAAGATGGGTCTGCATGGCTAGAACATCACTGTTATGTAGGAGTAGAGTGTGATAAGATACCTAAAAAAAGCCAGTCACTGAGGATCATATACACAGTAATCTCCCTTTATCCACGGTTTTGTTTTCTGCCATTTCAGTTACCCACAGTCAACTAAATCCAAAAATATTAAATGGAAAATTCCAAAGATAAACAATTCATAAGTTTTAAATTGCATACCAGTGTGAGTAGCCTGATGAAATCTTGTGCTGTCCTGCTTCATCCTGGCCAAGATATCAATCACCCCTTTGTCTAGTGTATCCACACTGTATACACTACCCGCCATTAGTCACTTAGCAGCCCTCTCAGCAGATCCACTGTCTTGGTATAGCAGTGCTTGTGTTCAATTAACCCCTATTTTACTTCAGAATGGCCACAAAGCACAAGAGTACTGGTGCTGGTAATTTTATTACAGTATACTATTATAATGATTCTGTTATTATCAAAACAAACAGGGATGTTTTGCAAAAATTAATTACTTTTGAGTTCCTCCAACTTATGGTTTTCTTATTCAGAGAGGAAAAAAATCTGTTAGTCTACTGGCAGTAGGTATCTAGAAATGCAATTTAATCAGTGCCCAAGAGAAATGATTTTCTAGGCTGGGCGCGGTGGTCACACCTGTAATCCAAGCACTTTGGGAGGTCAAAGCAGGTGCATCACGTGAGGTCAGAAGTAAAGACCAGTCTGGCCAACACGGTGAAACCCCGTATCTAAAAATACAGAAAAATTTAGCCGGGCATGGTGGCGCTTGCCTGTAGTCCCAGCTACTCAGGAGGCTGAGGCAGCAGAAATACTTTAGCCTGGGATGGGGAGGTTGCAGTGAGCCAAGATCACACCACTCCCCTCTGGCCTGGGCAACAGAGCAATAAATCATTTTCTGTTGCTTAAATCTGATTTACGACTTTATCATTGTACCTTGTAAACTATCATTCTCTGTTCCATTGTATGTAACTTATACAAATCATGTAACTTTGATATGATTACTGTTAGTTAACTCACTGACTTCCAATGAGAAAGAAAAAGCTAATTATCTAATATCTATCTCAGTCTAGGAGGCTTTCTCCCCAAAAGTTGTAAAGAGGACCTATTAAGCAAAGACACCAATTAGGAAAAAAAATGAAAATTTTATAATGGAAATAGGAAGTATAACTCTCCAAATGTAAGATAAACTTTTCCATTCTCAACAAATTATACCCTAAGAGAAAACAGCTGCATTTTCCCAAAAAAAACAAAACAAAAAACATTACAGAAAGAAATGTAAACATTTTTGGCCGGGCGAGGTGGCTCACGCCTGTAATCCCATCACTTTGGGAGGCCGAGGCAGGCGGATCACGAGGTCAAGAGATCGAGACCATCTTGGCCAACATGGTGAAACCCCATCTCTACTAAAAATACAAAAATTAGCTGGGCTTGGTGGTGCGCACCTGTAGTCACAGCTACTCGGCACGCTGAGGCAGGAGAACTGCTTGAACCTGGCAGGTGGAGGTTGCAGTGAGCCGAGATCGTGCCACTGCACTCCAGCCTGGTGTCTGGTGACGAAGCAAGACTCTGTCTAAAAAAATAAAAAAATTTTAAAAAGTAAATATTTTTTAAAACCCCAATAGCAAATGCCTGAAGCCAAATTCTTTTATCTAATGCCAACAGTCAGTTTAATAACCCCTCTGAAATTACAAAAAGTTCTAGCTAAAGTGTATAAACTTATTTGTGGTTTATGAAAAGTATACATAAGTATATATAAAACTTAACTGTTCTTCATGAAATTCCTAAGAGTCAAGAACAAGACATTTGTATTCAATTTAAGAAAACTACAGATACGACGGTTTAAAAGGTTTGCCAAAATTTATCCAACTCACTCATGATAGAACTAATATAAGTACTTCCAATTCAATAATTTCTGCTTTTTCTTCTCTGCTGCACAGTAACACTGCCCAAAGTTTTTATTTACATTTAAAAAATGTAATAAAGATGTATTTTTTCAGTTTTCTTTTACTGTGATAAAATATCCATAACATAAAATTTGCCATGTTAACCATTTTTAAGTGTATAATTTAGTGACATGAAGTATGTCTACAATTTTGTGCAACCATCAACACTATCCATTGGTAAGACATCTTTTATTTTTTCTTTCCTCAGCAAGACAATTTACTTCTACAGAAGGGTGCGGCTCACAGATGGAACAATGGCAAGCACAAACCTATTAGATGTATTTTTTACAATCTATGTTATTTTAAGAAAAATGGCAATTCTCTAGTAGTCATTTATTCCCACTCTTGGAATTACTTTTATATGAAAGTATTATAGGCAATTATATCATTTATTTTAAAGATGAATTAATCAATAAAGTTAGGATAATCTGGAAAAGCTATATATGTAATCAAGCTAAATCTATTTCAGCTTCTAGTTTTGATTAAAAATTAAGATCTTTTCATTGAACTCTACTCGATCAACTTACTGGACTGAAGACTCTACTTGTGCAGAACATTCTGACTAATGTTCACATATTATGTATGCTGACTCTGGCAGAGTACTCTCTAATGAAGCCCACATTTCTGCTTCCATCAGTCAAGTTTTAGCTTTACCAAGCATCAGGTATGTTTATTTCCAAAACATTTATGCTAACTGTATCTTTTATTATAATTATGAGATATAATTAAATATTATATACATCAGTGAATTTATGGTTACAAAAAAGTTTTTGTTTTTATGAAGTTAATTTGAATGTTCTGAAAGAATTCAGTAAAATGTTGCTAAAAATATCTGCTGTCAAATTAAGGCTGGAGCTAGGTGCCATGGCATGCCCCTAATCCCAGCTACTTCGGAAGCTGAGGTGAAGGATTGCTTGAGCCTAGGCGTTCAAGACCACTCTGGGCAACACAGTGAGACCCCATCTAAAAACAAAAATAAAAAAACTAGACCTGGGTAAGAAAACAGTTAAATATTAGGAGAAAAAAAATAAAAATCTATAGTTATGCATATAGGCTGCTTTCCAAGTAAGGTAAGAGGAGAATTTTAGATATGAGAGGTTGGATACATCCTCTGATGAAATCATTTTAGTAGAGTCTTGGATGAACTGTGGGAGCAACTCATTCAGGTATCTGAAAGAAGTGCAGTCTGGGAGGAAGACAGTAAGTGCAAATATTCTGAAGAGTACGCTTTTAACATTCAGGGAGAGAGTAAGAAAGTCCTATGCTAGAGCATAGTGAAAAAACAGAAAGTATTAGGCGAGAAGATTAGAGAAGCAGCCACAGTTCAGTCATGAAGGACTTGAAGGGCCATATTAAGGACTATGGCTTTTACTTTGGGATGGTTTTGGGTAGAGTAAATGTTTTAAGATCTTTCTATCTGATGTGTAAAGAAAAGACTATATAGACAGAAAAAAAAAAAAAAAAAAAAAAAAAAAAAAAAAAAAAAGAAAG